CTCTGGTGCTGGGTGATACCTGAATTCTCCCAAGGCTCAGTGCACACTGTTGCCAAGATCCTTATTTTTCAAAAGGCTCCACTTTCTGATCTCTAATATCTATCCTCTCCCTTTTAAGGTGTGATTCTCATCAGCAGTTTGGAGGAATATTTAGAACCCTACCTCAAACAGCGTCCCTCTGCTGTTCACAACCACCCATGGCCCCAGCGTCCTGAGGATGAAAGTAAAACGCCTCACACAAAACTTTGCCTCATCTTCTTTGTTGCCTTTAAACACAAAACAGACCTGGGTTTCCTGAGTCCTCACTGTTCAGCCCCAGCCCCACGGCCTGACTGAGCGGCATTGCAGCCCGTCACCCTCTTTCACCCCATCATATGCTGTGTCACCTACAAGCTACTCACTGTTCTGGGTGCTGGGACGCAAGCTGCAGGGCCTGACAGCGTGGTAGGTGGAGGTAAATGGGGTGAGGCTAAGTTGACCTCAGTGAGCAGAGAGGAGTCGGGGAAGCACGGAGACCTCAATCCCGCCTGCTGAAGGTCAACAAGCCTCAGACACCCCCTGCACAGCGGGGACGCTGCCTCTGACGTGTCCTAGTCCTAAAGCTGCCCGCCGCTGGGCCGTCTAAGTCGATAGAACGAGGAGGTGAAAATGACCACCAAGAGGACTAATCTGGGAGTCACGCCCAAACCAATGAGCACCAGGCTCATGCGCCTCTCCTGGGCTTTCATTGGCTAAACACAGCCATCATTAGGCGCATTGCCCTCTGGGTAAGGTACTTTTCCAGGCTGCGCAGGTGGCATTAGGATCCCAGTCACTGGCTGGCCATTGAGAATATTGGTTATGGAGCGCCCGAATGGCTGTGGGAAATGACAAACAGATTTGGTGGCTGGTCGCAGGGTTATGGGGAGTATGATTTCAGACTCCATGAAGCTCAGAACGCTCCCTGAGATAAAAATTCTGTCAATTATTCCTGCAGACCACAAATCTAAATGGATATGTAGATAGTTCCCTTTTTAAAATTTTATTTTGAGAGAAAATAAGAGGGAGAGAGAAAAACACAGGTGGGGTGCCTCCTCCCCTCCCTTACCCACCATCTAGGCATGCAGGCAGGAACCTGTCTTGTGGCTTCACCAGGAATTGCAACCTTTGTGTCCGTGGGAGGACACTCAAACAACGGAACCACTGCAGCCCTCCGAGTTTTTATTTTTTTATTATCATTTTATAAAATATATTTTATTGATTTTTTACAGAGAGGAAGGGTGATGGATAGAGAGTTAGAAACATCGATGAGAGAGAAACATCTATCAGCTGCCACCTGCACACCCCCTACTGGGGATGTTCCTGCAACCAAGGTGCATGCCCTTGACCGGAATCAAACCTGGGACCTTTCAGTCTGAAGGTGGATGCTCTACCCACTGAGCCAAAATGAATAGGGCCAGAGTTATTATTTTTAACACAGAAATAGCATATTATTAAGAGAAAAATAAGGCTATGAGAGTATATACATAATTCTATCCTACTCGCTTAAAAGCAATATTTGAAAGGACACAGAGGCCAACAAGTCGACATTTCCTACATTGTCTGCATGACTGCAGTCAGCACACATTGTGCAGCTATGGAGCTAACAGTTACTGAATGTTCACTACATGTGCCAGGCCCTGGATTCAATGCTTTACCTGCAATATTATTATTTCACTCAATCCTCTCCACAACTTGAGATCGTTTCAGGATCTATTTCATCAAGATGAAATCCAGACTCAGAGACTCGCGTTAAATTGCCTGATTGTAGAGT